GATTGTTTATTAGATTTGATGGAGTTGCACTCCCACTGCAGAATCATCCTAATCGATCTAACATTATAAATTCTTTCCAAATACAGATATTAAGTCGTCTGATGAAATTGTATTCATAATATATATCGCAAAATTAAAAAAATCTTAATGCTTGATTTTTCCAAAATCATGCAGCGCTAGCAAACTACAATAATAAAAAAATATGCGTGAATGGCATTGTATAAGACGACTATATATCAAACTCTTTTTCAAACAAATACTTTTCTGCTCCATATTTACTACTATTTTTTATTTTAAATTGTAAAAATGTGTGTGTACATGTGCAAACATGTGCAAATATAATAAACATACAGTATATTATATTTATTGTATATGGAGCACATTTCCCAAGCTTAGTTAAATTATTTGAGAGCAAATCTGGTTATATACAAAATGTTTCCATATATTATAAAACACACACATATATATATATATATATATATATATATATATATATATATATATATATACATACATACACATATACACACACACATATATATATATATATATATATATATATATATATATATATATATATATATATATATATATATATATATATAATTAAGTAATTCACTTTCAATTCAAATGTCTTCTTGTACCTAGCCTTTTTTGCTAAAGGGACTTAAGGGAACCATGTAAAGGATAGCAAGAGTCTTCCACAATAGTAAAGGTTTTTCTTTTTGTCGCTACCATAAATAAATCAGTGAGAGGTGTTTGTCTCTTACCAATTATTTTACTCGCTACATTTACCAACCTTAACAGTCTATTTTTGCTTTTAACAGAGAGGAAGTTAAACCAGGTGACAATATTTAAAGTAAGGACAGATCCAATAAGTGATTTATATACGACAATCAAAATGTCCTTCTCAGCATCAACTGCTGCTGAGCCTTTATACAAACATTCTCTGAATTGAAAGTCAATTTCCACCTAAATATTTCAAAGAACTCCTCTGTTCAACTTCCTCTCCATTAATAAGCAAAGGGTCACATATGTATTTTGTTTGTCCTACAACACATTTCTTTTGTCTTACTAATGAATTCTCTGTTGTACCAACTTATAATTCATTCATTCATTCATTCATTCATTTGTTTTCTTGCCGGCTTAGTCCCTTTATTAATCCGGGGTCGCCACAGCGGAATGAACCACCAACTTATCCAGCAAGTTTTTACGCAGCGGATGCCCTTCCAGCCGCAACCCATCTCTGGGAAACATCCACACACACATTCACACACACTCTCATACACTAAGGATAATTTAGCCTACCCAATTCACCTGTACCGCATGTCTTTGGACTGTGGGGAAAACCGGAGCACCCGGAGGAAACCCAAGCGAACATGCAAACTCCACACAGAAACGCCAACTGAGCCGAGGTTCGAACCAGCGACCCAGCGACCTTCTTGCTGTGAGGCGAACGTGCTACCCACTGCCTCGCCCCAACTTATAATTATTAAATTAAATAGATAATTACCTATAGATATTATGTCATATCATCTGCGTACTTGATAAGTGTCAGATCGTCACAAGTTACATCATTTATAAAAATAGAAAATAAGCTTGGTGATAAAACACATCCTTGAGGAAGGCCAGTATTTAACACCACATTCTCAGACTTTACCATTAACTATGCTGTCGTGGACCCCGCAAGAAACTATTGATCCACAAAATAAGCGTTTGGTGTACTTGCAAATCTTTCAATCGCTTCAAAATAATATCAAAATTCACTGTATTAAAGGCAGAGGAGAAATTCATAAATAAGATCCTAACACAGGAATCTGCCATGTCCAAATATTTCCCATAGAGGTAAAGTTGGTTTTATATTTGCACATTCAGACTTTCCCCTTAATAATATAATTTCTTTAAAGTATTATTTCCAAACTCCAAATAGCGAAATCATATTAGCAGCCAATGACTATCAAAGTACAACAATGTTCACAGTAAAATAAACAGTGTTAATGTTGTTTTCAAGCCATACTTGCATGCTAATTCCGATCGAATATTCAAAGTAACATGGTAAACAATATAGAGACTTCTAAATGAACGAATGTGCGAATATAAAACCAACTTTACCTCTATATATTTCCCAGCCTTATCTATCAGAGTGAGGCTGGCATCTGATAGATATGGCTGGGAAATATTTGGGCTTTTTGCACTTTTATTCTTCCTGAAACAAATAATTCAACCTTGAAATAAATAAATAAATAAATAAATGTAATATATTAAATAAATGTATTTATAGTTTTTATTTTAGATATTATTATGATTTGAGGTTATTAAAGTATTTCTATACTTTCATGACCAATTAATTTAGCAATATAAGATCATTTGGTGTAACTCTATATTAAAACCTAAATATTTAACTGCAAATATTTAAAAAAACCTATTGTTTACTTTTACTCTTGTATTTAATACATTAGTTTTGTTAGCTGTGGTATGCTAGAATGTCAAAATTACCAAAACAAAACACCATCACATAGAGAAACACATGTAAATAAATGCCATGATGCTATGAAAAATACTGCAGCACATTAAGTCTTAACTGGCATCTTACTGGTTCTGAGGAGGCCGTGCGGCTCTGATTGCCGTCTTCCAGTCCGTCCTTCTTGGTCCTTCCGTTTTTTAGCTCCCCTCAGGCTGCTGAAGCGTTTCATGGGTGCCAACGGAGAGCAGAGCAGCTCATGCCGAACACACAGATGATTTAGCTGGATCTCTTCAGTTACTGCCAGACCCTGGATCACTATCACCCAATCAATACACCAGTGTCTTCAAGTGTTACTCCAGTCTCTTCAAGTAAAGTCCTTACTCCAGAGTTCTTCAGTTTCTTCCTTTAATTCCCCCTGTTGTTTCTGTTTCAATGGACGGCCGGCTGCAGACTGTCAAGTGCAGCTGTGTGTGAGTGTGAGTGTCAGTGTGTGTGTATGTGTGTGTGAATACAAGCCTTTAAAACCGCATGTGTGACAGAGAGAATGTAAAAGGATACCAATCCATGCTTGGTTTGGAAATGCTGGTGATTGGCCAATCAATGGTAAGCCCCGCCTGTTCATGAATATTTAATATCCTTGCACATGTGCTGTGCATCTGCATGAGGGAACTTTTTTGTTTATTCAATGGATGTTTATAAGCAGACAAAATAAATCCAGATAAGTAGAAATGTTATCAGATATTTTAATAAGAATTCAGACGTTGTTAAAATAAATTGTCAGACGCTATAAAAGGAAACCAAGCCATTTTTGTTGAATGGATTTTTAACAGGATACTGAATAAATACAGATATGAAGAAACAGAATCAGACATTTTAATAACCTTACAGAAACTGATTTTTTTTTTTTTTTAATTGTAAGACACTATAAATAGAAACCAACCTATCTTTGGTCAGGAACAGCTGGTAATTGGACAAACAGCAGAAAGCACCGCCCACTCATGAATATGAAATATATGCGTATCGAGTGCTGTGCATCTTCATGAGGTTTTTGTTTGTTTGTTTGTTTCACATATGTTAGTAGACGGAATAAAAGAAAACTTAAAAGTATACCGAAAACTAAGCTTGTGATTTGATGTGGTCATTTCAGATCAGTTAATTCAGTTGTCCCGAATTAAGAGTCAGTTGATTTTAATAAAATCTTATTAAGGCAAGGACAAAAAAGTAATCAGGAGACCATAAAACAGGATTTAACCTTTCCAAATACCTTGCCAAACTGAAATGAATTCAGCACAGTGGGAGAACATTCCTGTTAAATGCTTATTTTCTCTTTGCTTATTAGTAGTTCAAGCATCCCTAATATTATGTTCATCTCCTGTGTTCAGGTATGCATTAAATAAAATTCCTTCATTAATTAATTTCCTTCGGCTTAGTCCCTTTATTCATCAGGGGTCGCCACAGCGGAATAAACCGCCAACTTATTCAGCATATGTTTTACGCATTGGATGCCCCTCCAGCCAAACCCAGTACTGGGAAACACCCATACACTCTCACATTCACACACACTCATACACTACGAACAATTTAGTTTATTCAATTCACCAATAGCGCATGTGTTTGGACTGTGGGGGAAACCGGAGCACCCGGAGGACACCCACGCGAACGCGGGGAGAACATGCAAACTGTGATCGAACCAGTGACCTTCTTGCTGTGAGATGACAGTGCTAACCACTGAGCCACCGTGCCACTCTCAAATAAAATTGTATAACATAACATTCTGTTTTAAACCATGTTCTCATAAAACAGAATGTGCAGAGGCACACAAAGTATGCTGAATAAATAATTTAAACAAGTAATACAAAATAATTTAAATAAATAATAAGTTAATAAATAAAGTAAAACTGAATATATTAACCATTTTTAAATGTTTTGAATTGTCGTAACATTTTAAAAAGTTAATCTTTAACCTACAGAAACATTCATTTATAGAATTTTGATTAAACTAGTTTAGTCTTTAAAAAATCAATAAGAAGTAGCTAATGACAAACAAAATTAAGTAATGGCAAAACTAGAATGAACATGCTGAGTAATCTTTAAAAAACTATTTAAAAAAACACCTTTTTTCCTGAAGCACTATTTCTCCCAGCTTTTTTCCCCCAGTTGCCAAGAAATCAAGATCAGCACTCATAACTGTCCTATTTTAGTCCAATCACAGAGCAGGGTGGGTTGGCATTAGGGATGCAACTTTTAACCGATTTCACTATTAACTGAGTTTTAATTCATCATGGTTAATTAATCATAAAAGCTTCTCTACACCACGTTGCTAGACGGACGAAATCTGCTGTATTCAACCAAAGTTATGCCAACTGTGCCCTAGTTTAAATTTCCGAACTTGAACACAAAGCGCAGGCACACTGGTTTAAAGGCTGATTTAAACTATGGCTGAGGCTATTAACTAAGAGCCATTCACATATCCTGAGTTTTTTTTTTGCGCAAGTTCATTATTTCCAATGTGGGTTGCCCGTAAGCTTTCCAGGCATGCATTTTTGAAAGAATGCCGCGAATGCACCGCGAGTCACGTGGCAGCAACTGACCGGTCAGCTTCATACTTTTATGGATTATACACATTTCTACCCAACGAGAGAAAAAATGCAAAAGGAAAATACCAAACAATTGCTGATCAAAAGTGGGCAGCACGTTGGCGCAGTGTGTAGCGCAATCGCCTCGCAGCAAGTAGGTTACTGGTTTGAGCCCCGGCTGGGCCAGTTGGTGTTTATGTGTAGAGTTTGAAGGATCTTCCTGTGTTCACATGGGTTTCCTCCAGGTGCTCCAGTATTCAATTCAAATCACCTTTATTTGTATAGCGCTTTTACAATGTAGATTGTGTCAAAGCAGCTTCACATAAAAGGTCATAGTAAATTGGAACAGTGTAGTTCAGTTTTTTAGTGCTTAAGTTCAGTTCAGCTCAGTTCAGTGTGATTTAATAATCAGTACTGAGAGTCTAGACACTGGAGAGCAAATCCATCGATGCACAGCTCTACAGATCCCAAACCATGCAAGCTAGTGGCGACAGCGGAGAGGGAAAAAAACTTCACCAATTGGAGAAAGTGAAGAAAAAAAACCTGGAAAGGAACTCAGTTGGGCACGACCATTTTATTTCTCCGCTGGCCAAACGTCTTGTCCAGAGCTGCAGTCTCAGCGGCAGAGGCTGGAAGCTGGGCCTCAATGAAGACTCGTCTGTCCCTGAGGGCGTCACAGGAATCAGTCTCATGCTCTCCACTCCTCCATGACCACTACAGCAGCTGCTCAGGATACGGCCTGGTCCAGGATATGGAAACCTTGGGATCATCTCGTCTCTGGTCTTTTATCAATCAGTGACTCTGCATAGTCTGAAGGCCTCGGGATGAGTATCCCCAGGTGGAAATAGAGAATGGAGTATCCCCACAATGTGCTCCGGCTTCCCCCACAAGTTTCCCCCTGGATTAGTTGGCAGTCCATTCCACTGTGGTGACCCCAGATTAATAAAGGGACTAAGTCGAAGAAAATGAATGAATGAATGAGTTGTTTAAAACTGCCTTTCAGATAGAGGTACAGCAACCTTTTACTTCATTTGTTCTCTTTAAAAGAGAAATACATGAGAACATGCAAACTCCACACAGAAATGCACATCTGACCCAGCCTTGGCTCGAACCAGTGACCTTCTTGCTGTGGGGCGACAGTGCTACCCACTGCACCATCAGTAATCTTCTAATTATATTTCTTAGTAACTTATTGTTCATAGCTTGATTTTAATTGTACAACCAAAATCTATAATTGTTGCATCCTTAGTGGGCACATACCACTCACAAAATGTAGCAGCATTCTGTTTTTAAAGTTACAGCATCAACAAAAACATCAAACACAGCAATGAAAAATACAATTTTCTCACAATTTTAGTCAAATAATTCATAAAATTTACTAATAAAACTAGTGGTAGACACATAATACTTGACCCTTTTGTAGTGTGTGATATATAAACAAAATCTTATTGTTTTGAATCATTAATGCCACGTTGTTGCTGGCACTTAAACTTGTAAGCAATGCTACTTCATTAAGCTTTAAAAATGTTCCTGCATTATTTATTAACATTGTATATTTGTCAGCTCTTCTCTGCAATTTTAACCCGACCCTTACTTAAAACAGACACTCAACATAACACAGCGAATCTACATCTCCAAAATAATACCCAGGCGAAACTCAATATCTGGGTCAAAATTCAAAGAACACAAAAACTACCTCACCAGCAATCACTTAAACTAATGACTTCATGTCCTGAAGCTAATTGGCATCAACATCTGATCACCCCCTGCTTTCTGTACCATCATAAACAAATCATTCTCTGTCACTGCACCAAATTAATCACCTAATAGTGGGTAAAGTCACACTGCCAGGCTCCGCGCCAACAGGTCCTTGCGTAAGCAGAATTAGATGGGCTTTGAGTAATGACCTCTCGTTTTCCAAACCCTCCTTGTCAGGGGCTCTTTGGGTCCCACTAAGCGCTTCTAAAGATGTTCATTTGAGCAAAAAAAAGTGCCTTTGGTGGGAATCAGGCAGTTAATCCCTTCAAAATCCACTGTACTTTGACCGTCAAGGTTAGCATGACACTGCAAAGAACAAGGTGTTGGTTTTTAAGACAGAAATGCTGGAGCAACTGACAGAGATGCAGAAATATAAAGACTTTTCTAATATCTAGGTAAGCATACATGCTCTGTTGAATGCACTGCCTTTTTCAGTATCCTTTGTTTGATCATCGTGTGCTCAATGCAAGAATGATTTACCTTTTTAGTTAAAGTTTTACGTAGAGTTGTGAGATTTATTTAGAATTTGCCTCAAAACAAATTTGTCTATTGTTTTTGTTGTCTTCAGTAGTTATATTATATATATTATATTATAGTTATATTCAGTAGAATATTTTGTCCTCAATGTTCTTTTTGAAGATTAATTAAATGACTGAACTTTAATAATCGAGCAGATAAATTACATCAATTAAAGACCATCCCAAAATGAGTCAATAAAATGGGACTTTCCTATACATTAGTATTGAGAGACTACACTGTAAAAATATCTCTTAATTAACAGTTATTATAGTTATTATTTACAGTTGTAAATTGCATTATAGCACCTTGATCTTTTCTCTGTCGACTTTTGATGTTGAAAATTCAACTCTATAGTTTAACAAAGTGACTTTATTGACATTTTAGTAGTTTGAAATAATATAATGGATAAGAAATAATATACTGAGAAATAAATCTGTAAACTAACAGAAAATGTACTGGCAGCTTATTACAAGGTTTCTGTAGAGTAATATACAACACCAACCCAGACAATATATCACTTTAAACTATTAAAAATGTTAATAAAAAATGACAACAGCCAGCAGCTAGCTCTCTGCAACTCTCACATGGTTGCCCACTGAAGTTAAGCAGGGCAGTGCCCGGTCATTAGCTGGATGGGAGACCGCATGAGAAATCTAGGTTGCTGCTGGAAGTAGTGTTAGTGAGACCAGCAGGGGGGGGTGTGGGTCCTAACGCCCCAGTAAAGTGA